GATTAATATTTTTTTCCTTTTTGACATATAGATATGAATTTTTTTAAAGGTGATATCACCTTTTAAATGTACAAGTTAGGATTATAGAGTATTATCACAAAATGCTGTAAAAAAATTTGGTAAAATATATAAACGTACATGTAATTTTTATTATTATTAGGTAATAATAATACAGTAAATAATATCGCCTATAATTTTGTCAAAAAAAATAAAATAAAAATAATATGGCCTATATTGGTGTTGCTGGTTTCCAAGAAGTCTCCGTGTGCAATGGCGTCAAGTATTCTTTCTGTTTACATAACATCTAAAGTTGTTGACTTTGTCATGCTACACTTGAATGTGTCAGAATAATTTCTCCATTTTTTTTTTTTAATCGTCTTATTTTAATTTTTTGAACTATTTACATATTTTATTTTAATTAATTTGATGACTAATAAGTAAGAGACGTGATTTTTTTATAAAATAAACTTTTAAATATCGACAAACAACAAAAAGGATTAAAGGGTTTACAAAAATGAGGAGTAAGGATTTTTTTTTTTTTTTTAATCTTTATCTTTTTGCATGTGGTTTTTGGATGGTTATGAGTTTATGAGCAATTAATATGATGATTTCATTTTTGGGAGAACTAAATGATTAAGATGCCGTTTTGCTAAGAAGACTAAGAACTAGTCAACCCCAAGCATGCATCAACCATTCAACCCACTAACGTAGGCATCGTGGACCATGTTACTGTCCCATTTTTGCTTTTTAGTAATTTAAGTTGTGTAAATATGCTAAAAAGGCAAAAGTCAACGGATATGAAGTACTTACTCCGTATCCTATTACTTATGAGTTATGTGGAAAATAATAATAAACGTATGGCTCGACTTAGTTTGACATACTTTCACTGAGTGTAAACTCCAGCTAGCTAGCTTACATCACTTTGAATTCCAAATCTTGCTCGAATTTGGTTTGATAATAATTATTTAGTTCGAGCTTGACTTAATATAACATGTTCCAATAATATGCACCATAAGATATTAATTTTATTGGTAATCGACTTAATAATATTGCTTCTCTTGGACAAGTCATGTTTGTAATAACTTTATAATTTAATTGATAATTTAAGCCGTCTTTGGTAAGGTATTATAGATTTATAGCAAAATCTAATAAGATAGCAGTGTTGTATTTCTCAAATTAATTGTTCACGAATGTGGATGTCAATGAGCTGATACGTTCACAAATAGCTTTTCAACTGGCTTAGTCAAAACATCCACAATATTGATGATAGTTCTATTGACAAACACTCACTCAATCTTTACTCATTCAATAAGTTAAGTTATAATCTTAAGATAATATATGTGTATTTTTCACCATTTAAATCATTAACCGAATTAAAAGTCATAAAATCTTATTCACCAATCTCAAAGTGATTCCTATCATACTCCTAATTGTCTTGTTGTGCCAACAACTTACAACATTGTTGGATAAAAAGACTGTTTATAAAATTTAGTGTCCAGGCCACCATGCACGTTCCCTCTTTGTAGTACATACATATCTTAATTACCTGTACTGTTACTCTATTAGCTTAGTTTTATGTAATTCTTTATTAAGCCACTAGCTAGTACGAACCTATTTCTAGATGATTTACAAAAGTATGGTTACTTTAAAATTTATTTATATTTTTGCGTCGGAATGAAATTTAATTACGGAACTACTGTTCATGTAAGCTCGGATAAATTTTTTTTTATTTTTTTATTTTTCAGAGTAAAACCGCTACCTCAAGTAGCGGTTTAGCGGTTTTACCCTTTATAAATTGCTACTCCGTATCTTTACTTGGAGTAATAAAGACAAACCGCTACCTTAAGTAGCGGTTTTAGACTATTACCGCTACTTAACGTAGCGGTTTGTCTCTAAAGAAAAAATTACCCCAAATGTATTATTGAGCCTACGTAGACTGTATTTTCGTAAAAAGTTTCATTCCAACGCAAAACCGTAAGTAAGTTTTTTTAAAAGCTATATTTTTGTAAATCATCCCCTATAAAAATTAAGTTTTTTTTACTAATCTTAAGACTAAACGCTAATGTAATTTAACATTAATTTAATTAAATACTATAGTTTCAACAAATTAAACTAAGCAAGGTTTCCTCAAAAAAAAAAAAAAAAAAAAAAAAAAAAAAAAAAAAAAAAAAAACTAAGCAAGGTGAATCACGCAGCTTTGCTTATATAGTCCCACGTGACTAGAGGATTGCTTGATAGATAATGATTGGAATCATTGGATAAACTAATTAAGAAGAATTTTGAACAACTAATTTTGGACTGACCAAATTATACTAACATTTCATATCCCTTCATAATCATGCATTCTTACATTTTTTTTAATTGGACTATATGCATGATTTCTCCCTCTTATATGAATTATGATTATTTTAGTAATGATATTTCTACGTTTATTCCTCGAACATGCACAGTCCCAATATAAATTTGTTTAACAATCGTCGGAATAATGATATAACACGTAATATTATTCTATATATTTGTTTGTCCCGTTTAGATCAGAATATTTATTTAATGAGAGAGAAACTATGACCATGATTATTCGTGGATATGAAAGGAGTGTTTTGAAGGTTTAGTTTTTAAATATAAACTTTTCATAATTTGTAATTCCATACTGTGGATTGTTGCTAAATGATATGCATGTTAAAAACTATGTAAAAGTCATATGAGATAAATATTAAAAAACGGAGGAAATATTATATGTTGTATAGTATGTACATGCCTATAGGAAGTGTATTGTATCAAATATAATTATATAGTGCTCCCATGTTCCAAGCTAAAATTACACATTAGTGTTGGCTCACTTGATAAGACTCTTACCTCATATCCTAGAGGTCTGGGGTTCTTAGAGGTAGGAATCCCTTATATACCCTCCCTTTTACTCCCATGTGACTGACCCGCTAAAATACTTGTATTACGGGTAGTAGCTACATTAATTATTCTAAATCATCCCAAGATTTATTTATTTTACAGACTTTTGAAGAAATTTTTTATGATTGTTATTATTTTATCAACTTAATGACAGCTTTTACTAAGACAATTCTAAATAAAGATCATGCATGAAAACCATGTGTATACGAAGATAATCAATCAATCAATATCAATATATATAATAAAGGCGAATAAAAAATGACATGTGGCAAAGTCTGGTTAAATAATTTCCCGCTAATTTTTTATTTACTTTTTTGTTTTATCTTAGGAAATTTTTAATTCACTATTTGTATAATATTTTCCTACTTTACCAAAATATATATATATATATATATATATTTTTAAAAAAAAATCTTCCATATATTTTATATAAGGTAATCTTTCCCTCCCAAATTCAATAAAACAATTTTGTAATAACTTATAGAAAATTTAAGCAAAATATTTTTATTAAAAAAGATATGCACATAATTTTTAACGTAGTATAAATTTGTATGGAGTATATATATATATATATATATATATATATATATATATATATATATATATATATATATAGGGGAGGGATCCGGCGAGAATAGGTCTATGTGAGAACCCTATTATATATGAGAACAAATCTCAACCATTGGATACCTCATGATCCAACTGTTGAGATTGCTGACATAGTAATGGCATAACGTAATTTATAGTTTTTTTTTTATTGGGCTCATTTTGAGCAATAATTTTTTGTTCATTTATCAAATGAGCAAACAATTATTGCTCATTTATCAAATGAACAACAATTCTTTGTTCATTTATCAAATGAGCAAATAAAAAAAAAATTGTTTTTTTTTTCTCATTTATCAAATGAGCAACATTTATTTGTTCATTTATCAAATGAGCAAATAATTTTTGTTCATTTGATAAATGAGCAAATAATATTTGCTCATTTGATAAATGAGCAATAAATCTTTGTTCATTTATTAAATGAGCAAACAATATTTCTTCTTTTTGTTTGCTCATTTATCAAATGAGCAACTATTTTTTGTTCATTTATCAAATGAGCAACAAATCTAAAACATTCAAACTAATATGAAACCTTGAACTTACTTAATATATTTGAAAATGTAAACAATTGTTGGACCATACGAGACCAACCGTATACTAGTTTATATTATGCACTTCATTTTCAGCCTATTTTTGAAGTAGATAGTTCAAAAGGTTAATTTAATACATGTTATTCTGCTCATATCCTTCACAAATGAGCAAACTGAAATTAAAATGAGCAAAAACACATACAATAACAATGTATAAATGAAAATGAACAAACTTATATTAGAATCTCAGAAAATTGCTCTATACTATCATCACATTATACAAACTCATTAAACTCATTTTCGATCGCCGAAATCTTTCAATTTCACCGAAACGCGCGACCATAATCGTCGTTGAGTGGAGCTCAAAAATGACATAATTGGTCTGAATTTTGAGCTTGATTTCTTGATGTTGCAAAGTTAATAACAATGATGTTAATGGCGATGTTGTTTATGACGAACATGATCGTCGCCGATTGGAGCTCGAAGACACAATTATCGATTTAAATTCGAGCTTAATTTTCTTGTTTTTAATGGCGCAAAGACGATGGTGATACGAGCACAATACAAAGACGCCATGGTTGATTAGAAGTTGAGCTTAATTTCTTTGAAATTAATGGCGTAAAGTTGATGATGTATACTAAACAATAGGTGAGAGGAGAGAGAAAGAGAAGGTGAGGAGAGAGAATAAAAAATTCAAAGGTCTAGATTTATTTTCACATAAGGGATGTGTTCTCACATAATCTCATTTCTATATATATATTTGGTATTTAGAGAGCCACAAGGGCGAGTGATGAGAACCGATCCCAAGAGATGAGACGCCAGTGGAGAAGATCCTCCGATCCATAACAGTCAGCATTTTTTCGGTCACACGACTACATGAGCATTAACATAAATGTAAATCCTAAACCAAGCAGACAAAAGAAGCAAATTGAGAATAGATGCACTAATACCTTGCATAAGGAGATGAAAAATGGATCAGTAACCTTAATAAACATATACTCTGTATTAAGCTTTGTTACACCAATGATAAGTCCTGGCAAAGAATAACCTTTCATCAATCACGTCTACTGTATCTAATTTCACAATGGTTAAAACTATGCGCGAGCACAAAATTTTCAGTTTTTTTTTTTACAGCAGATATATTTTAAGGGCTTTGCTCTTAAGTCAAAACAAAAATTGGGCTAAAGATCGAGCTTTGGAGAAGCGAATTGACTCATTAGAATAGCCATATCCATTCCTTGTACCATGGTGTGCACGACAACATCATAAGGGCAATCCTTCGAAAAACCAGCCTTTCCAGATTTCTGTGCTTTCTTGATGCATCTCTTGAACTTTTGATGGCATTTTATATTTGTCATACCTGAACAATCCGATTACCACCTGTCAGCAATCTTACTAGCCATGTATACCCTCATCATACTCCTACATCCCAATTCCCAATTACATATAGAAAGGACATGAAAAAGAATATAAGACTATAAGCAGCACCCTCATGCACCAAAAAAAAAATAAAAAATAAAAAATAAAAACACCCACGACCCACCCCTTCCCCAACCACACAGCACAGACTGAACTACAAATAGTGCAGTGCTAAACGTTCTAGAATTAAATGGCTAACTTTGCCAGAAGGAATTTGCAAACTACTTCTGCCTAGAGAGCAAATAAGGTAACATTTTTCATTTTCAAGATGACTTGGAAACTCATAATTCAAGTAAATTCACAGAAAAACTCTTCTTTAAACGTTCAACCAGTTATTTATCTTCAGAGAGCTTTGACACTGCAATGATATATCTTCATAACGGCTAATTGAACACAAATTAACCCAATGACTGCAATAACTTCTTTATTTGTATACCAACGAGGGAAAATGAATTTATATTTCAAAGACAATATAATTGGCTTATTGTATATAGTTTAGTGTTTCCCTGTTTTGTAATCGTTTGATAAATGTGTTTCCACATTCTCCCTATATTTGCCTTTACACTTCCTCATTCTATTTCCATGCAACATATAATATGAGTGCGATGCAAAATATAAGTTATGAAATATTGAGATGTGATTGTTTGAATTTCATTTTGTTCTGTTGATATATCCATATTCACATATGTATCACAAATGCAGATGACAAATCATGCAGTCATTTACAAAAACAGCATGAAATATCATTTGGCACAATAACATTTCGCTACTGTCATTATTTACAAATACTGCAAGCTCCATAAGAACTCTCCAACAAGAAAGTCAAAGAAAAAAAAAAAACAATAATTACAATATCAGAAAGCCATTTTGCTGACATTTCCCCTCTTTACATTAGGATTGTTCTGGCCTGTATACAAACTGCTTTAGAGTAAAACTTTCTACAACAATGCTACTATGTTCTCTAGAGCTAACCATGCATTTCTTTCGTTTCACCAAACCAACTACAACTCACTAGTCCTTAACAATGGATAAAATAATAAAAGTTCAAGGTGCAATAAGGCAATTGGGGTCCAGTTATTACTAGAGGTGAACTTAATAGACATCCAAAAGTTGGAGTAAAAAGAAAAGATGTGCACCACAAGTGTGCCTCGTGTGCTTCAAGTGCACCTCAGGTGCCCTTCTTTGAAAGAGCCTCACCTAGGATATTAAAAAGAAAAATAATAATGCTTGATCCCATCCCATGCGCCTAAAACTGGGCACGGGCCGGGGTGGCCCGCGTGCCGCCCAGCACGGCACGGCCCGACCCCAGGCCCGGCCAGGCACGCCCACCGGATTTCGTGCCACGGACACGATCCTGGTTTTCCAGGCACGGCACGAGCACGGCCGTGGCCCAGCGTGTTGGCCCGCCGTTCTGGCACATTGGCCCGGCACGTGGCACGCTGTGAAGCACGGCACGCAGGAACGGCCCGCGTGCCTGCTTTTAATAATGGCTATATTACCGTTTTACAACAGCCATTAACGACTAGTTAACAGCTATATTTTAGCCAAATTGTTCCCCAAAATTTCTATAAATACCCACCTCCATTTACTTCCCAAATCACAAAATCGCAATCTCTTCTTCTAATCTCTTATATTCTCTAATAATCCTTAATCTCTTATTCTCTAATAATTCTCTAATAATTCTCTTAAATTCTCTAATTATTTTCTTAATATCGGAAAAAATTAAAAAGTTCGTAATCGTAATTAGTGGAGCGTTGAAGCACGATTGTAAGATCTAAACTAATCTTTAATTTATTATTGTTTTTATTGTTATTATTAGAATAATCTTGTTTAATTATTATTGTTGTTAATTGTTATTGTTATAATTGTTGTTATTAATTATTATTATTGTTATTATTTATTATTGTTGTTATTGTTATTGTTATAATTGTTGTTATTAATTATTATTATTATTTTTTTTATTGTTAAAATTGTTGTTATTAATTATTATAATTGTTAATCAGTTTTTATTAAAAATCTAATTGTTAATTATGGCATCGAACAACCCATCATCTAGGGGGAAAGGCCGACTTGGCCGTAGTAGTAGTTATAGGGAATCACCTAATACAACGAGCCCCCAAATTTCGAGTCCAACCAATGACCCCGGTTACTTCCCCCCGGCTATGAGCCATTTAGGCACGATGGTACTTCCGGTTTTCAACCCTATAATATGTCGGGATTTCCACCACCAAACCAATTTCAACCACCCCAGCAATTCCCACAATTCGGTCAATTCCCACCTAATTATTTTGGTGATCAACAAAACTATTATTCTAGCCAAAGTAGCCGAGCAGATACCCAAATTCCCTCCGGTTCTACCCCTTCTACTACTACTAACCCAAACACACATCATGAATGGTTAACCGAAACTGAGATGCTACTTTTGAAAAACCGAAAGAGTAATGTATGGCTTTATTTCCTCCTAAATAAACCCCAAACACATGCAAAATGTAAAACATGTAATAGTGTATTCTCGGCACTATCCAAATCCGGGACAGGACACTTAAGTAGACACATGAGAACTTGTGCACAACCAGCTAGTGATCCAACCCAGCCAAAAATTTCCCAATACCATCCACACGGCTTTACCTACAACTATGAGACGGATAGGGATGAACTAGGGAAAATGATAGTACACGCCGAACAATCTTTTCTTTTCTCGGAAAGTGACCCATTTAACACTTACATTAACAAAACACTACAACCACAACATAAAAGAATCTCTAGGAAAACCGTTCGTTCCGCCGCCATGAAAAACTTCCTAGAATACAAATTGCGGTTACAAGTCGAATTGAGTAACCTTAACTGTAGAGTGTCTTTGCCAGCCGATTCTTGGGATAGTGGTTATAAATATCACTATTTATGTGTGACTTGCCATTGGGTAGATGATCAATGGTTGTTACAAAAAAGAATAATACATTTCAAAATGTTGGAATACCCACACACCGGCATTAACATTGCTCACCATTTAATACAAGCAATAGACGAATACAACCTTCGAGATAAAATGATGTCTATGACTTTTGACATGCAACCTCTATGACATACATAGCTAATCTTGTCAAACAAAACTTAACCGATGTAATATTAGACGGTGACGCTCTTCATATTAGATGTGTTTGCCATGTACTTAACTTATGTGTACAGGATGGAGTTCGGGGAGTTCGGGCAATTGGCTCATACTATAACAAAATCAGAAATGCTATTATGTCTATTAATAGGTCAAACATGAGGTACCAAGAATGGAAGAGTTTTCTAAGACAACAAAAGATAAGGGCAATAAAAATCTAAACCGATTGCCCAACTAGGTGGAATTCCACCTATGACATGTTAACCAAGGCAATTGAGTACAAGAATCCGTTAACAATATATTACAACCAAAAATTTCCACAAACTGTTTTATATAATGATGATTGGTATAACTGTGAAAGATATATACAATTTTTACAGTTATTATATGACATGACGTATTGTTTTTCTTCTATTTACAATCCTTGTGCTCAAAACTTTCTTTCTAATGCATGTTTACTCGCCCAACTTTTCGCTGATCATCGCAACCAAAGTGATTATGATCAGTATCTTCTAGCAATGGAAACAAAGTGGCGTAAATATTATAGTGAAATTCCTTTGATTTATATTTTTGCTTCCATATTAAATCCTAGGCAAAAGTATGAAAACACATTTATGTTAGTTGACATTTACTTTCAATGCATGCTTCTTGACGATGATGTAGAAAACTATAAGACTAATGTGAAAGATCAGTTTTTTACTTTATATAGAGTCTATGAAGCCAAATATGGCACCGTTCCTCGGTCAGGGCCTTCCCAACCATCCAAAAACGTAAATAAGAAGGCCAAACATTTATTTTCACAAGCTACTAACTTGATTTCGAAGTTTTCAGGTGATTCATCAATCAGGAGAACGCAAAGCAACGTCTCGGAGTTGCAGATGTACCTGAGTTACGACTTCACCAAAGGCATGGATGACGATGAGATAAACGGCCTCGACCTCCTTGCATGGTGGAAACAACAAAGCAGGAAGCATCCAACTTTGGCGGCAATGGCACGAGACATTCTTGGTATCCAAGTCTCCTCTGTTGCCTCCGAACGAGCTTTCAGCGCATCCGGAAGGGTTCTGGACGATAGAAGAACAAGTCTAAAATCCGAAACACTAGAAATGTGCGTGTGTTTCAAAGATTGGTTGGATGCAGAAAATCGCTCACAAGACCGTTCTTACGAGGACAACGACAACGATGAAGGAACCTCCGCTTCCGACCGTTCGAGTTCGGCTAGTTCCCAATCTATCCAACTAGTTGATGAAGCCGAAGCCGAAGCCGACGACTAAGACGAGCAACAAGAAGAATAGACAATTTTTATATGTTGTACGAATTTAATCATTATCGTTTATCAATATTATCATTATCCAATTTTCATTTTTATCATTGTACAATTTTCTCAACTCAAGTAATAATAATATGAAGTATGCATTATTCACATCCAAAGTCCAATTTGCCTTTTTTCCCCATTCGTTATAATTTGTATATTAATATAACAAAAAGAAAATTATACCAATTAATAATACAAAAAAATATTTAATAAATCATAAATATTAAATTTTAAAGTAATAGTATAAACTAAATATATAAATATAAATATTGAATATAAAAAATAATAAAACATAAATGTTCAACTTAATTTATTTTATAACTTATAATTTTATAACTTATAAGTTATAAGTTATAATTATAATTTTATAACTTATAAGTTATAAACTTATAAATTTATAACTTATAAAAGTTAAAATTATAGGTTATAAAATTATAACTTATAAGGTATAATTATAATTTTATAATTTATAAGTTATTAACCGCTAACAAAAAATAAATAAATAAATAAAAATAAAAATAAAAAAAATTATTTACACAAGGCCAGCCCGCTAGGCCAGCACGAAGGCCGGCACGGCACGAGCCCGCCAGGCTGCCTTTGAAATTCGCCAGCACGGCACGGCACGAAAACCTGGGCACGCCGATGACCGTGGCCTGCCAGGCACGGCCCGACCTGGCACGGCACGATGCCCAGGTTTACATCCGCCTATCACTTCACAGCCTAGGTCCACTATTTTATACACTGCTCCTTAACCCCCAACTAATCTACTAAAATGACTATATTATGAATTCAGCATATTCAAATCCACAGGAAAAAATAAATCTTCCTGACTAAACAAAGGGTTAAAAAAAATTCAATTGGTTTCTAATTTATGCAACTTTGGGGATTTTATTAATTTCTTGATTACAAAAACAAAATTGAACCAATTGAATCAAGAAGATGTTTGGCTACACCAATTTGAGAAGCAAAATCCTTGAATCAAAAATATTTTATACATTTATTCATCAGCTTATAGAAATTTGCAATCCAATTTCTCAAACAAGGATTTTAGTAGTCCCAATGCATCATCAAGATAATCAACACTTCCATTGTATTGCGTAAATGCAGAAGGTAACAAGTTTACGACATTCATCCTCGTTTTCCTTTGTCTTTATTCCTAGTTACATGGCATATTTTATAAATGCTTTCTTGGCCATTCATCCCCTCTTGAGGCAGCAGGTGTTACCAATTCACTCACTCCTATATGAGCTTAATTGTTCAATACTATAGTGAAAGCAACTCATTTCTCAATTTATTCATTCCACTCATGTCAAGAAAATTTGGATAATTATGAGATGATCAGACTTTGACTTTACAAGGGTGCCAAGGGAAAGAGGGAGGGGAACAGAGTGAGTAGTGATACCTTAGACTGTGGATGTGATAGTTTGAACTTCATTTTGTTCTGTACTTATAAACTCACGATTCATATGCTTAATCATAATATTCACAAACATTTTTTAACCATCATCAATTCCTAGGAATGAAAAAACATCATAATGCAGTCCTGCAATTACATTATTGTAAACTAAGGTCAAAAATTCAAAATGCACTGTGTCACAACTCACGACTCAGGTTATCTAACAAGTATGCAGTACTATGCACTAAGTACGATGTTCTTAACTACTTTGAATTCTCTAGAACTACGTCGTAACTGATAACACAAAAATTTCATTTCCTTCTGTTCATCCCACCAACTTCACCCCAAATCTCACTGTCACAACTACTTGACCAAAACTACTCCATTTAATTCCATGGAATTGAAGGATGGTTTCTAGTTTCTACTCAGTATTCACCCAATTTTCAATTATCTGAATATATTTTTGTTACAACGTATAACTAAAGTTTGTGTCCTTTATCAACCCTTACTCAACCTAATTCCTAAGCTTATCTTATTTGAACTTCTCAACGCTTATTTGAACTTATGTTTCCTAAATTAATGGAAATGTGAACAAAATAACTTTCAAAACTGTGAAGTGTAAAGAAATTACTAATTTGTTCCATTAAAATCCAATATCAACTTAACTTTGCCACAAAATCGAAACCCTCCCAATAATATGGACTAATCACACCAATTTCAAGAAGCAATAACTTGGAATCAAATAAGATTTCAATAATTCATCCATATAAATTCCACCAAGATAAGACTACCAATTTCAAACAAACAAAATATTAAAAATAAAAAATAAAAAAATAATGTCGAAAGAAAATTGAAAAATTAAAAAAAGGTACTGTACCATGTTTATCGACGCAATCGTCATGAATTTGACAGCAAGCATCAACATCATCGCAAGGATTCTCGCCTGGACATCCACTATACCCTACTCCACAGTATTTTCCATACTTTATTCCAACATCTATATTTCAAATTTCCCAATACCAAAAATTAGAAGAAAAAAAAAAACAATTTCCTGGTAAATATTCAAAAGAAGGGGGCAAATTGAGAATTGGGTTAGATGCTTACTATCACAATTTAGAGCAATACATCTTTTGCTGCATTGGATCTGCAAAAATAATCGTACCAAAAAAAAAGGTAAACGGATTATTCAGGCTGTTAACTACCAAATACTAAACATTAATAACACCAATCGACGCGTAAGAATGGATAGGAATCGGTGGGTACCTGAGAATTGTTGGTGGTGGAATCGGCGGCGACGATGAGGAGAGAGAAAATGAGGAAGAGAGTGAATGTTTGCTTAGAGATGACATTTTCATGGAGTATTTCTCCCCGCATTTTCACGTTTGGCTCGTCTCGGCTCGATTCGTTTGCGATACGCCAATAGCTAACAAGTATTGGGTCTGTTTCCAAAATAACTTAAGTACGGAGTAGAAGACTAGAAGGTGTCAATCCACACTTGGTATTTGGTCAACGGATGTGTGCTTCCAACTTCCAAGTCATTTCTATTTTCTAGTTTCACGTGAGATGTACGGCTTATATTTTTTGAACAAATATTTTTTTTTAAGTTATAGGATAAAATTTGAGATTTTATTTATTGTATATAGTATATTATTTAATATTTTTATTTTAAAATAAATGGTCTCTCATTCGTTATGTATTTTGATAAAATTTCTAATCTTAAACGATAATATTATATTTAATTAATTTAAACTTTAAAATCTCATTCGCCAATTTTGATTATGTGGCTTTTGAATTATTCAATTCTAAAAGAAATTACAAATCTCTTATTAATTGGCTACAACTAAAATTTATAATCTGTGGCACGCTAAGAAAAACTCCCCTAGCCCATGCGATGCACAATTTTTTTTCACAAAAAAATAATATTCTTAATTAGACTATATAATATTTTGATTAATTTGCTTGTTAAAAAAAGATAGGTTTTCAATTATGTGAAAATTGTATTTAAAATTAAAAAATCATAAATGGTGTCTCATCCGTCAAATATTAGGATAAATATATCACCCATAAACATAGATTAAATTTTATTAATAAAATCTATACTCAACAAAAAAAATTCCGATCCTAATAGGAAAAATTCATGGGAATAAATCCCACCTTTGGGTCATTCGTTTTTAATAATCTCATCTTTAAGTTATTTTTTAATAATTCAACCTTTACCCCCATTCTTTTTTATTGGTCCCAACCGGTCATATAACTTGTTTGACACGTGGCGACCTATGATTGGTAAAAAAAAAAGTTAAAAAAATAAAATAAAATAATAACTCCACAACCACCAACCTAGTGAGCACCCAGCCTCCACAACCTCCACCCTCACCCACACCTAAACATCACCAAACCCTGAACCCCGGCCCTGACCACCCGATCCCGACCACCGCGCGAACCCCTCGACCCCAATTACCACACACCTAGAAACCCACGATCCCGACTACCGCCTCCACCTTCCATCTCTTTCTCCTTAGCCCTCTCCTCCACCTTGATTCGAACCCCAAAACCCCGACCTCACAACCCACCTGCTCTCTCCTCCGACCTTTCCTTCTCTGACCACCACACCTCAGCGCAAACCCCCCCCCCCCAAATTTCGACCTTGCTTGTCCCTTAGCTTGTCCCAAGAATCCGGCCACCCCCTCCCCCCCCAAATTTCGACCTTGCTTGTCCCTTAGCTTGTCCCAAGAATCCGGCCACCCCCCCCCCAAATTTCGACCTTGTTGACAACCCCATCCTCTGATTCTGGTGTCTCTGACCTCCCCCATCATCCAATTCAAGCCGCGTCAAACTCCCTGCCTCGATTTCGCGTCGAACCCAATGTTGGTTTGGATTGGTGGGTTTTCGAATGGTTTTGAGGTTGGCTGGGTTTGGGGACGTGGGTGGGGTTTCAGGGAAGGGGAAGGCCGGGGCTGGGGATTTGGGATTGGGTGGGTGATTTCGGGATTGGATGGTGGGGTTGTGTGAGGGTTGAGGTTGGTGGTGGTTGGGCGAGTGGTGGCCAGTGACAAGTGAGGAGTTGAGGAGGTGGTGGTGGTTTGGGTGGAAGTTCTAGCGGTGACTATGGAAGAGGTGGGAGGAGATGAATTAAAAAAATTAAAAAAATTTGACCAGTTTAACCGGTTTTTGGTCAAATGGGACCAATAAAAAAAATGGGGGGGTAAAGGTCGGATTATTAAAAAATAACTCAAAGGTAGGATTATTAAAAACGAATGGCCCAAAGGTGGGATTATTCCCATGAATTTTAAATTATTAGATACAAATAAAAATATGTAAGAAATATTATAATTTAAAATAATCAAAAACATATATACCATTTATCCTCTATTTCGATAGAATCACCAACTTCATTCACATTAAACTACATCTAATCTTAAGTAGACAAATAGAACACTAAATTGCTAGCAAAAATAAAATTGATATAAAATAAATCTTTACATTTAGCAACTGAAAAGTATCTAACGGAGTAAACTTTTACTTCAATCAATTTTGGATGAAAGTGTTGAACAAAGTTGGCTTCAATTGAGGCCTGAACGTAATCACCCTGTAATTAAAAAATAAGAAATTAAGTTAATTTAATAACTTGATCAAGCCACATAAGTCACAAATTTGTTTTTGTTCATAAAATAAATTATAAAAAAAATTAAAAAAAATTAAAAAAAAATTAAAAAATAAAAACTAAAGAGGTTTATTAAGAATTTAATTAATGTAAACAATTTATAAAAATACCTCCTCGTTCAATAGGATCATATCCAAACTTATTAAATTATCTTGTTTGTGGAAGTTTAATATGTCAAACAGGCTAAAAACTCATACGTTGATTTTCCAATCATTTTTTCTCGAATTAAATTAGATATTTAGATCTGCATGTGAAAACAAAATCAGTAAACAAAACATAAACATAAACAATCGTTACGTATCTAAATAAACACAATCTAAGTAAAAATTACAAATGTAAATTTAAACATGGATTTTAAAAATTAAGCTAAGAATTACCCAGCCATTGATGATAACCTAATATTTACACAATATTACTAACACAAAATTCACTTGATGTGGATTTATTGATACGAAATTTTGTTGGTGTCGTATGATGTGTCAATTTATAATGATATGTGTCACAAATTCTTATTTTATCATTTTTTTAATTTAGTTAAAATTTTAGTTTTAATTTAATCATGATTAAGGAACAATTTTTTTTTAATCATAAACGCTATCTAATTTTATCTTATAAATTTGTGCACTTATCTTTAATTTTTTTTTTTTTACCACTAGTTTATAAGATAAATTCCTTTCCAAAAAAAAATTATACGATGATTTTATTTGTGGTGTTTAATTTACGTGGCATTAAAATTTTAGATGTCAAATATAATTCGTTAGTTTTACCTAGGCGACGATAAATTTTTTATCATTCGTCCTTTTTTCCTTAGGTGGCGAGTGAATTTTTAAATTCTAAAATAAAATACAAATCTAATTTTTAATTGGTCAAAATAATATTTTTGCTTATGTGGCGCGGCGAATGCTTTCGAAAAATACTTACTTTATTTCTACACTAGATGGAAGCCCGTGCGATGCACGGTTTTTTCATCTAAGATATTTAATTATTTGATTTAATTTATTTAATAATTTTAGACAAAATTACAAAAGTTTAATATTTTTTTTTTTACTATAATTTATAATGAATTTATTAAATATAAATAAATTGTAAATATGATATTTTTTCCGTTATATAAAATCTTTAGTGTGAAATGATAAATTTTTAATACTTTAAATCCTAAATCATTATTCATTGTTTTACCATATCTTTTATTTCGATAGAATCACCAATCTCGTTTGATATAAATTAAAATCCTATGTTTAAATAGAAATACTATTCATTTTTCTAAAAATATTGGTAAACATAGAAATACTAATTTAAACATAGGATATTAAAAATTAAGATAAAAATTACCCAGCCATTGATGACCAAAAATTAACACAAAATTACTAACACAAAATTCACTTGATGGGGTTTTTTATTGATACGAAATTTTGTTTGTGTCGTATGATGTGCCAATTTATAATGGTAGGCATCACAAATTTTAATTTAATTATAATTAACGAACAATTTGTATTTCTTATCATAAATACAATCAAAATTTATCATATAATGATAGGTATCAAACTTTAATATAAGCGTTTATCATTTAAATATTTCTTAGTATATTTTTTTGGATTTCTTATACTCGTAGTATTGAATTAATAAATTTATCTTTTCCTATATTTTACTCTATGTTTTTCATTAAAATAATTTCATTCGTGGATTATAATCTACGTGGCATTAAAACTTTAGATATATCAAATCTAATTCGTTACTTTTATCTAGGTGGCGACATAATTTTTTAATTCAAAAATAAAATAGAAATCTTTCTTCTTATTGGTCGAAATAAGTATATTTCTTACGTAGTGCTCCAAATGCTCTCCAAAAATTATTAGATGGAAGCCCGTGCGATGCACGGTTTTTTTTATCTAATATGTTTAATTATTTCATTCATTGTATTTAATAATTTCAGACAAAATTACAAAAGTTTAATATTTATTTTTTTTACTATATTTTATAATGGATTTATTAAGTATAAATAAATTGGAAATATGATATTTTTTCTGTTATATAAAATCTTTAATGTGAAATGATAAATTTTTAATGATTTAAATCCTAAATCATTATTCATTGTTTTACCATATCTTTTATTTCGATAGAATCACCAACCTCGTCCACAACCAACCTACTACATCAATGGATAAATTGAACTGTGAAATGTTAGCCAAACTGAAATTGATATAAATTAAATCTTTATATTTATATAAAATAAATCAATATATTTACCAATAAATGAAAAATTGTTGCGATATAAAATCAAATCTATGCATTGGAATTTTTTCATCATCTCCAAAAATAACCAAAGCCATCCATATATTAAGTATACAATATCTAATCTTATGCCATTACATAAACAAATAATCGTTAAGTATCCTAAATAAATATAATGTAAATAATAATTACAAATATAAATTTAAACATAAGATTTTAAAAATTACCCAGACATTGATGACCTAAAACTAACAAAAAATTACTAACACAAAATTCGCTTGATGGGGTTTAATATTGATACGAAATTTTATTTGTGTCGTATGATGTGTTAGATCTGCATATAAAAAAACATTTAGTAAATAAAACAAAAACATATAATCATTGAGTATCCCAAATTAATACAATGTAAGTAATAATTAGAAATACTAATTTAAACATAGGATTTTAAAAATTAAGCTAAAAATTACCCGGCCATTGATGACAAAAAATTAACACAAAATTACTAACACAAAATTCGCTTGATGGGGTTTTTTATTGATACGAAAATTGTTTGTGTCGT